GTTAACTTAATCGGCCATTCAGGCCTTGCAAGTCGTTCAGGGTTTAGGGTTTAGGGTTTAGGGTTAGGGTTTAGGGTTTTGGGTTTTTTGAACACCTGGCGCCAGGGCATCTCACAAATCTACGATGCAGGCGCCGAGTTTTCTGCCACACGAGCTCTGCTGACTGTTGTGCCTTACTTGGGGTACTTCTATCCCCCAAATACCAAAGACGGTAATCCTCACAATTACTGAATACAGTCACTATTTTCGGACCAACCCCCTCCCCCCCCCCCCCCCCCCCCACCTCGGACCTTTGGGGAGTGTAGGGGTGTATGGGGTGCATGGGGCCCTCAGGGTTAGGGCCATAAGCCCTCAAAAACCCTAAACCCTAAACCCTAAACCCCAAACCCTAAACCCTAAACCCTAAACCCTAAACCCTAAACCCTAAACCCTAAACCCTAAACCCTAAACCCTAAACCCTAAACCCTAAACCCTAAAACCCTAAACCCTCAACCCTCAACCCTCAACCCAACCCTACCTTGCAGAAAGCAAAGCCACGCCGAAGCTCCCCCGATGGGCTCTGTCGGCCTCTCTTCTAGGGTTTAGGGTTTCGGGTTTAGGGTTTAGGGTTTAGGGGTTAGGAAGCCCAGGAGAAGCCTCCCAAAGAATGTGTGCTCGAGGTTCTTCATGCAGCCCTGCAATCTTAAACTCTACAGATCCCAAGCCTTGATTCACTAGGCTCCAAGTAATGGTGATTATTGACTAGGGTTCAGGAAGTAGGGACGTCTCCCTTGGGCTGTTTGAGAGATTCAGGGCCATGGCATTGAATCTTTCTGCAGCCTTTCCTCACCGAGTTGGGGCTGGAGGTCTAGATGATAAGGGTGCAAATGGTCCACAGGGTGTGAAGGGTTTGAAGGGTTTAATGGGTTAAAAGGGTTTAGGGTTTGGAGGGCAGGGTTTAGCACTTAGGGTTTAGGATTTAGTGTTCAGGGGAGCCTAACCCCCAAACTCCAAACCCGAAACCCTAATCAGTAACTTTGGCCAGGGGCCTGTTCGCCTGGATGGTCTCAGTTCGATGCCTTCTGCTACAAGTTCTTCCTTGACGCTTTGTTTTGAAGCCCTCGGCCCTCCGTTGCTGTTTGGGTTTGTAGGGTTTAGAGCCTCATGGTGGCCCAAGCCCTGAAACCCTAACCTCTTTGAAGGGCTTTAAGTGGTTGAGGGTGTCATACCAGCATTCAAGATTAAACCCCAGTGGACACTATCCTGCGCCTCAAGAATAAACAGAAGCCGAGCCCTAAACCCTGAGCCCTACACTTGCCCTTCTCTTCTTGGACAGTTTCAGCTCTACAAGCATAAGGGTCGAGAGGTTGGTCGTAAATAGCGCCAACGGCCTAGGCGTTTGGATTTTTGTTTGCGGCTTCGGGTCGTTTCGGCTTCAGGGTTTCAGGGTTTCAGGGTTTCAGGGTTTAAGGGTTTAAGGGTTTAAGGGTTTAAGGGTTAAGGGTTTAAGGGTTTAAGGGTTTAAGGGCTTAAGGGTTTAAGGGTTTCAGGGATCGTGTTCGGGGGTTGGCCCTCAATGCACCTTTATGCCCCTGAGCTCAGGGTTGTGCGTCGGCACTGCCCTGGCGTGTCCCCCGAGTCAGGCTAGGAACGGCTTGACACAAAACCCTAAACCCTAAACCCTAAACCCTAAACCCTAAACCCTAAACCCTAAACCCTAAACCCTAAACCCTAAACCCTAAACCCTAAACCCTAAACCCTAAACCCTAAACCCTAAACTTAAGCCCTCAAGCCCTCAAACTCTCAAGCCCCCGAGCCGTCACCTAGGCCGTGACACGCTGAGCCCTGAGCCCAAGTAAGTGAGACGACGAAGCCATACGGCATGCCTGAGCCCCACAATCCTCCACCAGACACTAGGCACCAAATCCCCCTGACGTTTAGGGTTTAGGGTTTGGGGTTTAGGGTTTAGGGTTTAGGGTAACCCTCCCCACCGAGGACTCGAAAACCTGGCCCGAGGCGATGGACTTCTTGCGTAGTTCATGTAGGGTTCAGGATTCAGTATTCAACATTTTATGGTTTTATGGGTTTGTTTGTTTGATGCAGGCTTTTAGGGTTTAGGTCCGATGTTTCACAGGGTCGGTAAAGGATTGCATGAACCGACACACCTAGATGAAGTCTCATAGCAAGGCTCACCTGGGTCTTAACTGACCCCATGTGCTTTTGCGGTCGTGGTGAACGTAGGGTTTAGGGTTTAGGGTTTAGGGTTTAGGGTTACATACATTGCCTTGCCTCCTCTGCCTCTCTCAGGGGACTTTGGGCTTGGGGTGAAGGGTTCCAGTCCCAGGCTGGGTTTAGGGTTTAGGGTTTAGGGTTTAGGGTTTGGGGTTTAGGGTTTAGGGTTTTGAGTGTTTGTGTTGGGGGAGGGGTCCAACAAGCAAACACACACACACACAGCCTTACGCTCAGCTTCTTGCTCCTATAAGCCCTCTGGACCATGTAAGTCATACACACGACTCCCAAACGCCTGGTGGCATCCCTAGCGTAAGGCGGTAATCCCACAAACCCTATAAACCCTCGAAGGCACTCCCCACCCCACGAGAAGCCCTACGAGCCTGTAAATGTCCTGTACCCTGAAACCCTTAACCCTAAGCTTCAACCCTACTAAACCCTAAACCCTAAACCCTAAACCCTAAACCCTAAACCCTAAACCCTAAACCCTAAACCCTAAACCCTAAACCCTAAACCCTAAACCCTAAACTGTATACCCTAAACCCTAAACTGTATACCCTAAACCCTAAACCCTAAACCCTAAACCCTAAACCCTAAACCCTAAACCCTAAACCCTAAACCCTAAACCCTAAACCCTAAAACCCTAGAACCCTAGGACCCTAGACTCGTGCAAGGCTGAGGAGAGCTGCCGAAGTCTCAACTCCCACCTTGCCCCTTGCAGCCGAAGCTTAGGGTTTAGGGTTTAGGGTTTAGGGTTTAGGGTTTAGGGTTTAGGGTTTAGGGTTTAGGGTTTAGGGTTTAGGGTTTAAAGGTCAGGGATTTCGGGGTTTAGGGTTTGAGGGTGTTTTGCGGCTTCATTGCTTAGTGCTGACCGAATGCCTTAATTTCGCCTTTGATATTTAAACGGAGTTGTTTTTAGGAGTTTTGTTCGTTTGTTTTTTTGTTTTTTGTTTTGTTTTTGTCTCTGCTACTGGTAAACCCTAAACCCTAAACCCTAAACCCTAAACCCTAAACCCTAAACCCTAAACCCTAAACCCTAAACCCTAAACCCTAAACCCTAAACCCTAAACCTAGACCCTAGACCCTAAACCCTAACCCCTAGTCGAAACCCTAAGCCCCTAAACCCCTAAACCCTAAACCCTAAACCCTAAACCCTAAACCCTAAACCCTAAACCCTAAGCCCTAAACCCTAAACCCTAAACCCTAAACCCTAACCCCTAAACCCTAAACACTAAACCCTAAACCCTAAACCCTAAACCCTAAACCCTAACCCTAAACCCTAAAACCTAAACCCTAAACCCTAAACCCTAAACCCTAAAGCAAAAAAACCCAAAAACAAAACAAAAAATCTAATTTAATTCTCCGGCCGATTTAAACTCTGCACCCTTAAACCGTAAAGCCTAACTAAACCCATAGAATCGGTCGCAACCCTGCCACGGCTGCAGCCGAGGTGTCGATACACTCGCAGATGGAGAACAGCTGCCAAGCTGCAGATTGAGTCGTTTGGGCCTTTTTGAGTCTCGGAGTTGGGGGCAGGATTAGGGTTCGGGGTTCAGGGGGACCTGGACGTCTGTTGTACTCTTGGGGCTGCCCCACAGAAAGCCCTGTCCAGCCACCCATGAGCCTCACCTAAGCCCTAACACTTCTGGGTGGTCGCAAACAGTGTCGCGCAAACAGCCCCGCACCCGATGCACTGTTCTGTGCACTCCTAAACCCTAATTCTAAACCCCAAACCCCAAACCCCAAACCCGAAACCCGAAACCCTAAACCCTAAACCCTAAACTAGAGCCCAACGCCCCGGTCACGAAGCGGGTTGCAGCCCAGAAGCGCTGAGCCAAATGCCTCTGCTCCACGAAGAAAGGTTTCGTCCACACCTTGGCGCATGGTCTGAAGGCTGGGTCGTGCTCTACTTGGTGGGGGGATGTTTAGGGCTTTGGGGTTGAGGGTTTAGGGGCCCCCCCCCACCCCCCGCACCCCCCCCACCCCCCCCCCCACCCCCCCCACCCCCCCCCCCCCCCCCACCCCCCCCACCCCCCCACCCCCCCCCACCCCCCCCGGCAAGAACATCCAAGTAACTGCCCGGAACCATGGAGGTGAAATCTCCAGCCGCGCATGATCTGTTGTCTGCAGCATGGTCCTTTATCGGAATAAATTCCGCACCCTAAGCCCTAGATCCCAAACTCCTAAACCCTAAACCCAAAAGCCCTAGATCCCAAACTCTAAACCCTAAACCCTGACTACAAGTAGCTTGAATTATAAGCATCAGGGGGCCCACAGCGACCACAAGGACCGGAGCTCACCTTCGTGAACCAAACCCTACACCCTTTCGTCCGACCGGGTTTAGGGTTGAGGGTTTAGTTTGTATGGTTTAGGGTTTCGGGTTTAGGGTTTAGGGTTTAGTTTTGTATGGGTAGGGTTTAGGATTTAGGGGTTAGGGTTAGCCCTAAAGCCCACCCTGCCCTGAGCCATCCGGTGCATCTGTGTGGGGCTCCCTACGTGTAGATTTTTGTTCTGTTGTTTACATTGTGGTCTGGGTCCTCACTGCAATATACTCCCTAAAGAGGATACCCACAAGGTACCCAGAAATTAGAACCTGCAGATTATATCTTTTTGTGTTCCTTCGCAGACAAACCCCACTAAACAAAGAAGCGCGACCTTGTCGATACTTAGGTTACTGTGAGCTGTGACCAGACGGCACAGACCCAGCGTCGGCTTTGGTTTTCTTGTTCAAGCCAGGGTTCCGAATCTGCTGTTTGTATAGGTTTAGGGACGCAGCTTCTCGCGCCTCGCGCATGAGCTCCATGGATACATCTTCGCCGCAGGAGCCAGCGTTTGCAAAGGCCGCTCGGGCTGGTTCTGCACATAGCATAAATGCCCAAATCCACCTACAACCTACCCTAAACCCTAAACCCTAAACTCTAAGCCCTAAGCCCTAAACTCTGGTTTGGAGGACCATTCGGGTGACTAGGATCCAGGGATGGTAGGACTTCAGGAGTAGGATGTTTAGGAACTTGTTCAGGTTGCAGTGAGCCAGGGGCACGTAGGGTTGGCTATGCTCCACCAACCTCTCCTCCTGGTCAAGGTGCTCGTGTTTCTGGTGGCTATGCTGGACTCGAACTGAACGACTGAACCCCATGTCTACCCCTAAACCCTAAACCTTAAACAAGAACCGTCAAAAAGACTCTTCAAGGATGACGCCGATGGCGCAGCATCAGCCGATGCATCACCGGCTTCTGATTCTGACGACTCCATCACCGTCCACTTGCTCCACGCATCTGGTCGTTCCATCCCTGTTTCAGTGCCTCGGTAGCTGAGCGGTAGCTGAGTGTTGCCCTTTTGCACTTCTTGGGTTCTGGGTTTTCCCTTGTTAATGTAGCCAACACCCGAAAGAGTGTACCCTTATTGTAAATATGGGTGCTGAGCTACCAAGGTGCAGATCTCGAATACCATCCGTGATGTCACTGAGCTTGCTTGATAGCTTTTGGGCTCTTAGAATCCTGGACCAAGCTAAGCCTCGAAGCCCCCAGGCCGAAGCATGTGCTTGCAGCGTGCAGGTGAAGCACCGGATCCGGAAGACCTACGAACATGAAGGCGCCCCTCCTGGCTACTCTGATGGCTCTGTTCTGAAGCTCATTCTGGGCTCGATGGAACTCGAAGCACGGCATGGCACCGAAAACCCAGAATCGCCCTTTAAAGCGCAACAGTAAGTATCAGGGTATGTCTACACCTCTTCTTGAAATAATTGAATGCCCAGAGATGCCCTCATTTCCTGTTTTTTTTTTTTTTTTTTTTGGGGGGGGGGGGGGGGGGGCAGTTCCCCTTATAAACCCTTCAAAGCCAAGAAGAGCGCCCTGCTTGCATTCCTACCCCCCAATACACCCTAAGTTTCAGCCACTTCTAAGGGTTCCCCATTCTTGGAAGAAGCTTATGGTTTAAGCTTTGCAGGCTGAAGCCGTTTAGGGCTCATCCAGTGTTTTGTGCCACGTTAGACTGAGGAAGAGGACGAACTAACAGTGGCTGATCATGGTATCGAAGACGGGGAGACACTGACCATCGTCGTGCGCCTCGCCAAAATTCGTAAGCCCCGAGCACGTCAGGCAGAATTCCTACACAGGTCTGCAATCTCTGAGGCCCTAAACCCCAAAGCGTACACCTGACAGCCCGTTCAAGAAAGTAAACTTCAAGCGCCCAAAAAGCAAAGCACCTCCTAACAGGTCTTCCGGTTCAGGGTTGAAGGTTGATATAGGGGAGGGGTGCAAAGCCTTTGGACCCGTGATTCCTGCCCTCACCCTAGAGTGGCCCGAAACCCTAAGCCATAAAGCCCACTGAATCACCACAACCCTAAACCCCAAACCCCAAACCCCAAACCCGAAACCCTAAACCCTAAACCCTAAACCCTAAACCCGAAACCCTAAACCCTAAACCCTAAACCCTAAACCCTAAACCCTAAACCCAGCCCCAAGGCAGCCATCAAGGTGGCGGTCCTTGACAGCGAATCTCCACATGATTCGACAGCTGGGGCAGACTCCTCCTCCGCCGCGGAGTTTGTTCTGGGATATGCAGGGACGTCGGGGTTAGGGTTTGGGGTTTGGGGTTTAGGGTTTAGGGTTTAGGGTTTAGGGTTTGGGTGGAGGTCTAGGCGGTTTAGGATTCAGGAGACGTTAGGGGGTTGCGGGCTTGGGTTGGGAATTTATTCCGAGGTCTTCGGCTTGAGGTATGTTGGTCTTCGGCGCGGCTGAATGTACAGCTGAGCTGTCTCCTGCTCAAGAAACCCCAATAGCCAAAACGAGGATGGGCCAGATGACTGGAATCCCACTATACACCTCAGAACCCTAAAACCCCCAACTCTCTCCTAAACCCCCCTAATGCAGTTGTTTTTTGTTGTTTAGAGCTTAGGGCCTTTTTTGATTTTTGGGATTTAGGGCTTGTCGGAAAGCATACAGAGAGAGCAGATGCAGCTCAGACACCAGCCTGCACGCCTCAGACTTGCAGGACATTGTTCTGAATCACCTCCTGAACGATCAGAGGGGTTAGGGTTGCGGGTGTCGGGGTTTTGGGCGTTTAGGGTTCCCAGGCTTTTGGTGTTAGGGTTTAGGGTGTGTAGATTGAGGTAAACTCACAACCCTTGGACCCTAAGCCCATGAACCCTAAGCCCCACACCCTAACCCCAAGAGTTTAACTTTTAGGGTGCGGTGTTTCGGGTTTAGAGTTTCAGGGGTTAGCTTAAGGTTAATGAGGGTTAAGGGATTTAGGGTCTAGGGGTCTAGGGCTTAAGGTCTAGGAGTTTCAGGGTGTAAGGTTTGGTGGTACCTTCCCGATGGTTCTCTCGATGTATCGCCAGTATCTTTTATTGGTTCTGTCCAGGTTGTGCAGGGCTTCCCGGTACATGCCGCGCTTCAAACCCTAACTACCCTGGACCCCCAAACCCCCGAACCAATAGATCCATTTGTATACAACCTAAGGGAATATTACGAACTTAATTGTTATCAAGCTTCTAAGGAGACTATAGGAACCGTGAACCCTCTGAGCCCTAGCGTAGCTGCCCCAAGTCGAGAAACAAACGTTGCGCTTCAATGTGGGCCTGGGGCCAGGCTGCTCTGTGCAGTTGAGCAGTGTGCTGGTGGGCACATGCCCCGGACTCCGATTAAGAAACAAAGGCGCAAAAGATGCATGGAGCAAAGTCCACATAGACCCTAAGCCCGAAGCCCAAGAGCACCAGGATGTTGCGAAATGGGGCTTATAGGATTTTGGGCTCTGTGGGGGTTGAGGGTTCAGCTCTTCATACAATCTAAGCCGTACAACCCTACAGCACGCCCTTCAGTCCTACAACCCAAAATCTCAGCCTCATATGACCAACCCTGCAAGCCCTCGATCATCTAACCCTGTGTCCTAAACACATAACCCACACCTGGAAGCCTGCAGCGAACGCCCTAGGCACCTCACCCTCAGGCCGCAAAACTCTTAAGCGCTTCGGGGGTTAGGGTTTAGGGTGGTGGCACCCTAGAACACCTAAACCCTCTAAGCCCTAAGCCCGAAGCCAGTTCTTTGGCAGGTGTGGATCGGCTACACAGACATCGACCAAGACACGTGCCCTCGGCGGCAGCTTAGGGTTGTGCTTGGAGAGTTTGGGGTGGGTTTCAGAGATTTCGGGTTTAGATTTCAGGGTTGGTCAGACGCGCCTGTAGTTGAGGGTGTTTGGGGAGTAAGGGGCTGAGGATTTAGGGTGTGGGGCAGTGTAGGGTTTGGGTTTTTTGGTTTGGGGACTTGAGGGTTTTAGGTGTTGGGGGGAGTTCGCTTGAAGTCCCCTTTCGGTTTCACTTTTACTTCCCTCCTCACGATGGAGCCGGAAATTGACTCGAAGTACCCTAGCAGAGTCTCCTCAACAATGGACGCCTTGGGAAATCCTAAGGCCTAGACCCCGAAGCCCAAAGCGCTGTAATGGCTATGGATTTAGGGTCCCAAGACTCCGCCCCCAGAACGCAATAAGCCTTCACCGCGATTCATCTCACTTGGTTTTGATGGACGGGTTCGAGTTTAGGGCTTAGGGAACTCTCAACCCTGAATTCTAAACCCTGAACCCTAAATTCAAGTTTAGGGTTTAGGGTTTTGAGGTTAGGGCATTAGAAAGACAAAATAGGGACCCCCCCAAACGGGCCCGAATCTACTCTCTAGCCCTATACTCGTTAAGAAAGGGTCGCCGAACCCCCATGCAACCTTGGGGGGTGCTAGGCTACCTGTCTACAAGGGGTTAGGGTTTAGGGTTTATGCCTGAGAGCTTCTGAAGTGACAGTATGGGTGACTGTTGAGGCTCCTGTATTTCCGAGAGGCACTATACCTGGAGCGACAGCACGCAGGACGACTTTACCAATTTCGCCTGGCTCTCATCCTGATGATCGGTCATGCCCCAGTTTCGGTGGTTTTGAGTTTATTGGGTTTCAGGGTCTGTCTCTCTGGCTCTCTCTGTCTCTCTCTCTCTCTCTCTCTCCTGTCTCCCTCGCCCTCTCTCTCTCTCTCTCACTCTCACTCTCTCTCTCTCTCTCTCTCTCTCTCTCTCTCGTCTCCCTTGCTTCTTCTCTGCTTCTAGGCTTAAGGCCTAAGTTGCTGCTTCTAGGTTTTGCATCCCGCATTTTGCGCCGCCTTAAGCACTTTCACGCCTTGTGAGATGGGCCCCGAAACACTGAACTGTAAAACCCTAAGTTTGAGATTTTCCACCCTCCCGTAAGCACTGAACCCGAATACCTCCTTCAACCTGAATTCCTAGCTTCTTAAAGGCCAAAAGGGGTAGGGTTTAACCTTAAACCAAAAGAAACAACTGCTGTTAAGGGACAAATGCGGCACCTGTAGTTCTTAATTCTTAATGCCCTACAAGGCATACGATTACAAATAAGGTGTGGACTTGTAAGATCACCGCAGGCTATAGAAAGAAAGAGCGCGAGGAGAATGGATTTCGCTGAGTCGCAAGATCTACTTGGAGGTTCATGAGAAGCTTGAAGTAGGAGTGTGATGTCGGAGAACTGTAGTTACAGCCAGGTCTTTAACCGGCCAAAACTGTGGACCTTCGCTCATGAACCTCCAAGCAGCCTTGACCTTAAACCCGAGATCCAGAAGCCTACGGCCTACACCCGGAACTCTGACCCTGAGCCGCGCCTCTTCGTGCACACCTGAGGCGAAGAACTGTACCGGCCACGAGGGCGAGGCCTCGCTCAGGGTTTAATTTGCACGTTTAGGGTTTAGGGTTTAGGGTTAGGGTTTGGGGTTTAGGGTTTAGGGTTTAGGGGGTTTAGGGCGGCACTTCTCGCCAGGCCTAGGGGCTAGAAAGCATCAGTCATATGAGGAATGGAGCCCAAATCCGTTCAGCTGTCTGGTAAACTGGATCCTAAACCCTAAGCCCATCCTATATCATCGAGGCTGCATTCGCCCCTAATCCTTGTAAAATCCATATGAGCCCTCGACCCGAAACCCTGTAAACCCTACGAGGCCAAGACAACTCTTACCTCCTGGTGACCCTAAACGCCCTAAGTGAACTGCTACACTCCTTACCCTAAACCCCTAAACCCTGAAATTTATCTCTCACCCTCAACCCTGACCCCAGACCCAACGCAGTGAGAAATGCCGCTGCGCCCAGCACCGGTAGGCCGGCTGCAGTTTGCCTGAGGCGCTGTTGGGCTGGAGGGGACGGGAGGTTTTGGGCTTGAAGGGGGTCTTGAGGAGTCTAGAGTCCGTGTACGTTTGCGAGCTTGGTGTGCGTGGTTTGCGCTTTGGGCTTTATCGATGTCAGCCCTACACCCTAGAACCTACGCCCTAAACCTCAAAGCTCTGACATTGAGAAGCGCCTGCACCACAGCCCAAGCCGTGTCCAAACAAAAGGAAAAGCCAAAGGCGGCGGCTGTGCTTGAAACTTTTGAACACGTCGCAGAGCGGGTAGGCTGAGAGTCCGGCGATCGATGCGACCATCATGGACCCCTTACTTTCCTGATAGTTCTTCATCTTCAGAAGGAACTGCCTAACGTCTCGCTTCAAAAACCCTTCTGGGGTGTTAGATGGTGACTACTTCCCTATCCTTTCCCGACCCTAGATTACCCAATTATCCCAGGGAGTAACCTCTGAGGTGCAGCAGCAGTGGTACCACAGCACCGGGGTGGAAAGAAGCCCTTTCGCACGAGGTCCCAGTCACACACGGCCTGGCCTGGTCTGTTGAAGAGTTAGGCTTTAGGGTTGAAAGGCTAGTCCACAATGCTGATACGCTTCTAGCGCATTTGGCAGTGGATTTTATGGTCTGGGCTGTTAGGGCTTGGGGTTTTGGGTTTTGAAAGTTTGGGGTGTAGGGCTGTTGAGTTGTTCTGGAGGAGGGCCGGTGAGGTTTCTTCCAATGGTCGACTGGGCACTTCTAAGTCCTTGATGTGTTGACTACGGCTACGGCTCAAGGTTTCAGGGTTTTGGTTGGTTTTAGAGTTTAGGGTTTACGGCCAAGGCTGCCTGATACGTGCAAAAGTCCACCTCTGCCTAGTTCTCACCGGGAAGTGCGAACCCTACAGACAAACCGCAGTATGAGGAGGTGGGGGGGGGTGGGGTACTTCTCCCTGGGTCTTTGTAGAACCTTCCAAACCCAGGTCTGCAAGAAGAACGCCCAGCTTCCTGTGTCGCTACAGCTCAACACCACCGCAACGAGCTCCGCGCTCAGAGGGTGCAGGGATGAGGGCTTGTAGGGTTTACGGTGGGGCCTTTTCAGCTCGGAGATCTCCCAAACAGGGTTTCGGGTTGAGAAGGTTCGTTTTCAGGCCGTTCTTCTTTCATTTTTCAGTTTTGGGTCAGTCTAGGGTTTTCCCCTAACCCAATTTGATTTTGTGGGGTCCTAGGGAACCTCGGTGAACCCCAACCCCTAAGTATTCCTTGGCTACTGAACAAGCCACAATAAACACGCGTTTCATCCTTGGGATACCACGGAACCTCTCTCTCTCTTAGACCCTAGGCCCCTCAATCTAAAACCCTAAATCCTTTCTGTTCGCAAGTTGCTGGGCTCTTAAACCCTAAGCCCCAAACCTTTCCAGGAACCCTAAACCCTCAACCCTGAGCCCCAA